AAATGTTTGCAGAAATAATCTCACCCCACACCAAATTCTGAAGTTATTTCTCATACCGCATCACAGACATTAGGTTCCCACTGATGTTACATTTTCACTATCCACTTAGGTAACAGTCAACGTGTGCTAGGGCCACTAGATATTACTGTCAATATTGTGGAATATAAATGGCTTCCTAATTCCTTTCTGGTTTCAGCATTTCCAATTGAATGCTACCCAGTGTGCCATCTAACAGTCAATTAGAACATTCCTTCAAATGCTCCTCACAATTGACAATATGAATAGAAAATCAAAACTGAGCTTCAAGATACAACCAGGTTAACCAATTTAATGTCCAATTACAAAAGGAATGACACTCCTGAACCACACTGAAACAGGATTTACAAATTCTACGTGTTCACTGAATGACTTACAAAATGAAATGCAGGAAAAAGTGATTCTGTTCACCCTGACGCATTTTAGCAATCAGTTGGATTCAGTGTTTTGGTTTCTGTTACATTACTCTGGTATTGTTGAGCATTTCAGGGAAGATGGTAGGTGGTAGTGATATCACTGGACTATTAATCCAGAATCCCAGTTCTGAGGTTATGGGTTTGAATCCCACCATGACAGATGATGTGTGAATTCAATTAAAAAAAAACAGGAATTAAAGAGCTGAGTTAATGGTAACTATGTAACTAAAAACCCATCTGGTCTACTGGTGTCCTTTAGGGTAGGAAATCTGCCATTCTTATCTTGTCTGGCCTACATCTGACACCAGACCTATGGCAAAATAGTTGACTTTTAATTGCCCTCTGGACAAATAAAGATTGACTCCAAGTGCCCAAATCCCAATTACGAACAAAGTAAAACATTTTTGTCAATACAGTGTGAAGCTGGAGGAACACAGCAGGTCATGCAGCATCAGAGGAGCAAGAGAGTCGACGTTTCAGGCCGAGACCCTTCACCAGGCCTGAAGAAGGGCCTAGGCCCAAAACGTCGACTCTCCTGCTCCTCTGATGCTGCCTGACCTGCCGTGTTCCTCCAGCTCCATGCTGTATTGACTCTGACTCCAGCTTCTGCAGTTCTTGCTGTCTCCGAGTGACTTAAAACATTCATGTGCTTTAAGCAGTAACGTTTTATAAATTTATTTCTCACTTATTTGAATGTATGTTCCACTAGCCTGACTTATTAAAGAATATTTCAAGTGCACATAATCTTTACCATCGATTACTTTACACACCCCGACTAAAGGGATTTCATTGTAATTTATCTCATGCATTTCTAAAATGAGTTAAATTAAAAGTTGATGTCTCTTTTCGTATTCACTGAGGATGCATGGTTCCGGACGTTAATTTCACTATGTCATAGAGTCAAAGAGCTGTACAACACAGAAACAGAACCTTCAGTCCAACTTATCCATTCCGACCAGATATCCTAAATTAATCTATTCTGATTTCCCAGCATTTGGCCCATATCCCTCTAATCACTTCCTATTCATATACCCATCCAGATTCCTTTTAAATGTTGTAATTGTACCAGCCTCCATCACTTCCTCTGGTAGCTTAATCCATACACACCCCACCCTCGGTGTGAAAAAAAGTTGCCCCTTTATATCTTTCCATTCTTATCTTAAACTTATGCCCTCTAGTTTTGGATTTCCCTACCAGGGAAAAGACCTTGGCTAATTACCCTATCCATGCCCCTCATGATTTTAAAAACTTTTATGAAGTCACCCCTCAGCCCCAGCCTATTCAGCCCCTCCCTATAGCTCAAACCCTTCAACCCTGGCAATATCCTTGTAAATCCTTTCTGAACCCTTTCAAGAATTGACAATATCCTTCCTACAGCAGGGAGACCAGAATATTGTCAAAGAATTGGCAAATATTTGGACAACAGGATTACCTTAGTTTTAAAAAACAGGATGTGGAACACTTAGGTGCAGCATGTATTCTTCACTACAGAAGTGATGTTATATCCCTGAAGAAAATGTAATCCAAATTTACAACAATTAATTCACACTTGACAGCTGTGTCATACTATAGGAAGCATATGTACTAAGTACGGGACTAATTTATAACAGCAAACACTGAGGGGTGATCTGATACTGTTTGAAATGATAAAAGGAAAAGACAGAAAAAGTATACATACACCAATTCCATAGAATGTAAAGCAAAGACAAGAAACCATAATCAAGAGAAACTGAAGATCGTCACAGAGAAAGATTCAGATACTTCTTTATCGAAAGGGATACTGGAATATGAAATGTTGTGCCACTAATAGTGATCAATGTTAAATTGATTTCAACTTTTAAAATGGCACTGGATAATTACTTGAAAACATATGTAAAAGAGTACAGGAAGAAACTACAGGTCAGTGTAGGCAACATTGATAAGAAAGGTCAAATGGACTTATGTTTCTATCCATTACAATATGTCATCATTACCCAGTGCTTAACATTTCTCACTTCATTTGGTAAATATGGGAAAAGCTCCCAAAAACTTGTGTTCTGCCTGCAGGATCTGAATTTTATAGGGCAGATTGGAAATTTTTATCATCAGCAACAACATTAAAATATGAAGCCTAAGAAAGGTAACTTCACACCCAAGTTTGATTTATTATCACACAGTGTATCCTTATTAAAGAGTACTTAAAACCCCAGGAGTCCATTTTGTTAGGGCAAATTTTCATTTTTACCTTTGTGCAGTCAAATTGGTCATTTGAGCATCTTCCAAGATTTTCTTTGCTAGAATTCGATCCAATGGTTTGATGCAGTGGCATTTCCTACCTTCAGGACAGGAGAGATGTAAGCATTCAACATAATTTCAAAAAGGTTGATGCTATGGTTGGTGGATCATTTTTAATCTTGTGATAGCCTTAGAGGGAACAGGTTTCAGTTCACAGTAAGTTGTCTCCTTATGGTACCTGTCTTTTTGTCCTAAGGACAAGGCACAAGCATTAGGGGAAAGGCTTAGTAATTTTAGACAATACTTCAGCTATTACTGTGTTTAGAAGATCCAGGTGTGGAAGACACATGAAGACAAACGTATGTTTGCCTGTAATGTCCCTTCAGAAGCTTTTCAACCCAATTTTCTACCTTCTGTTTATCAGGGGTAGATAACTTAAAATAGGAAGGAAATTTCATCCAACAGCCTGATTTTCAGGTGCTGGAGCCTGAACATCAGGCGGTTTCCATTTTAAAATGGCAGGCAGTTCATTTCAGCAGTTGCATTAAATTATATTTTCTATTTGCATAGGATAGATGCAATTTTCCACTCTCAATGTGAACAGGCTAAAGGCTCCTGGCTAAATCTGGATTAAGGTAACTAGTTGCAAACAAAACACTTTCTTTTGAGTGTTTTTAAAATTGCAGTTGCTATTTGAATCTTAATGATACATATGTTGGAACGTCCTTACACACAGTCTAGGCTGCAGTGCAAAGAATGGCTGCTTGGATGAAGTATTATTGTTTATGGAATCATACTCAGTATTAGTATTCAGAAGGCTGTATCAATTAGAAGAGAACAAAAGTACTGGGGGAAATTAAAGGGTCCGATACCGCCTAGATAGTCTATACCAATTGTACTTTTTACTTCACTGATTTTACTTTTACAAGGAAATCTTGCTAATTCAAGATCAAGGAACCAAAGATGACAAAAACGAACGGAGTGTTTTTGCCATTCTTGCATTAATTAATATTTCAGCACTGTACTACTCACAGCTAAAATGAATTTTGAAAGATACTATCTTTTAATCAAAAAGCTCACAAACAAGTAACTCAACTGGTCTGATCTGTGAATTGCACCAAGTCTAATCCCACATTTGTAATGGTATGATGAAACTCATTTAAATAGTTACCTGACACACCCATGGAATACAGCAATACATACAGTCTTACATACATTGTGGCTGTGATGCTCACTGCTACACTACTTTCCAATTTAATAAACCTACTTTTGTTTATGACCATATCTGTCAGACCAGAATCACCATGAGGAAATTCAGCTTGCATGGTTTTTTGTTTTTGTTGCGCAGAGACTAACCTTTTGTTTCCCCCGCCCCCCAAAATAAATAGTTGCATGATTTTCACTTTGAATGAAGCATTTGCGTCATTGTATACCAACTTGGATTGAAACAAGGCTAGTTCTGTTTCTGAAAGGCATGTTCCCAATTCAATTCCCTCTGCTTCCGATGGCTGCAATTTATGTTTAGTTCCACACACACACACAACGGTCGATATCTGATATATTACTCAAGTTGCCAGTGCTTCACGTCTATGCCTTGACATAAGTGTTGGAAAGTCCTTCGACAAGAGAGTATCATGGTGAAATAACTGCACAGATGCCAGTATCCCATCACCAAGTCACCCTTCATTTAGTTCAGAGTCAGTCCCTTGAACTGAGATTCTAAATCCCCTGTTTATATTGGTCAGCCAGGGTTTCCTGATTGGCCCAAGTTAACAACTCCAGTCAAGGATCTCAGTCAACAAGGTCCACCTGGTTCTAATTGCTAAGTATGGGTTAGATCAAGCCTGATCATGAATATTCGTTTTCCAGCAAGGCTCTTCGTACAGGAATCAGGAGAGGGAATCATAACTAATTTTATTGCGTCAGACGAACAGTAACTTCTCCTGACAGGAAATATAAACCACTTGTATTTACAGAGCATCTTTCATATCATCAGAACATTCTTAAACCCTCTATCAACAACGGCATATGTTGAATTCTAGTCATTGTGTGAAGAAATGTGGCAGCTATCCTGGATACAAGTCCCTCAAGCTGCAATGAAAACAATGGCCAGATAGTGAGTATCGCTAAAATACATGTGAAGGTATACATTTTGGTCAGGATAGCAGGGAGAACATGCATTCATATGCAGGAACCCATTCTCTGCAAGCAAAAGCAATACATTCAAGCTTTTTGCCCCCCGCAATGACCTAGAAGCATAGAGGACCTAAAGCTGACTAACAAAATCATTCAATGAAATAGGACCCATCTGTAATATAGCGCTACTATCCCTACCTCTGAATTTAAAGTTCCATGTTCAAATTCTACTTGCCATAGAGTCATAAGCATGGAATCACACAGCACGGAAACAAGACGTTTCAGTTCAACTTGTCCAGGCCAGCCAAATTTCCCAAACTAAACTATTTGTACTGACTAATGTTTTGTCACTCCATGAGATCACTATCTAACTCCAAATATTCAGATTTGCTCCATATCCATTAGCAATAGCCAAAATCTATCGATTCCAGATTGAAAATTAACTATTAACAAAGCACCAACTGGCTCCTAAGTCTAGCTACTCAATTTTAAAATGCTCCTCATTTCCAAATGACTCCATCATGGTCTCTACTATCTCTTCGACTGCTACAGTTTTTTGAAATGACTGTCACCTTCAATTCTGGTCTTTGGACATTTTTCTTGTCTACTTCCTCTTGCATCGTGATTACATAGCTCCTTGAAATTGGGATCGCAGGAAGACAGGGTGGTGAAGGCAGTGTTCTGTATACTTGTCTTTATTAGTCAGTGTACTGAGTATCGCAGTTAGGAGGCCAAGTTGTGGCTATACAGGACATCGGTTAGGCCAATTTTGGAATACTGTATGCAGTTCTGGTCTCCCTCCTATAGAGAGGATGTTGTGGAACTTGAAAGGATTCAGAAAATATTTACAAGGATGCTGCCAGAGTGACCTTATAGAAGTTTATAAAATCATGAGGGACATGGATAGGGTGAGTAGGCAAGTTCTTATTCCCAAGGTAGGGGAGTCCAAAACTAGAGGACATAGGTTTAAGGTAAGGGGGGAAAGATTTAAAAGGTGTTATAAAGCGGAGATTCACACCTTTCTGAGAACTAAAACCAAAACACCCAAACAGTAGCATGTCGCCCTATAATAAAAAAGGAGTATGAAAAGTGGTGGAGAGATAACACAGTGTGCAGCTGGAGGAACACAGCAGGCCAGGCAGCATCAGAGGAGCAGGAAAGCTGATGTTTCGGGTCGAAGAAGGG